TTTGTCCCCATGCTCCCAGGATGTCCATGGGTCTGAGATGTGTGTTCACACTCCAGAAGCAGGGCTCTTTCTTAGTATGCACAGGTTCAGCCTCAAGCACGTCAATGACAAAGGGGGCCATGTGGAACCTAGGTCCATAGTTAGGTAGGAGAACAACACCTGGTGCTCTTTTCTCCATTTTCACTTACCACGTGTTCATACTGGTCTGGGGCATACTATAAACTTTAAATGTTTAGTTGTTTCTTCCTCAACCTGCCTTTGTGAGTAAACATTTTCCCAAATATTTATATTAAAAATGGCTATTTCTGAATGAAAGGAAGAGAGGAAGAGAGGAGTAAAGCATAATAATGAAGTTGTAGAACTTAAAGCCCAATTTCTTTTTAGTTGAAGCTCTGATTCTGCCACTTACTATTTTTGTGATCTTCCTTAGTTTCCTCATCCGTAAAATGGGAATAAGAATGACCTACCTCATAGAGTGTTATGAGTGAACACATAAAGCTCTTAAAAGATTATGACTCTGTAAGTGTTGGCTATTAATACTATGTATTATTCCTGCTTGAATAATGGCCTTGAACTAAACCAGTTTACTTTTATTACTAGTGGTAAACATGTTTAGATATTTTTAATTTTATTACAACTGATATTATAGTAAATGAATCTGGCATTTTATTTTTTTAAAAGATTTTATTTATTTATTCATGAGAGACACACAGAGAGAGGCAGAGACACAGGCAGAGGGAGAAGCAGGCTCCCTGCAGGAAGCCTAGATCCAGGCATTCCAGGATCACACCCTGAGCCAAAAGCAGAAGCCCAACCGCTGAGCCACCCAGGCGTCTCAAATATGGCATTTTATTAACCAGTATTCCCTCTGGACTGGCATTTATGCACGTAGACCACAAAAATAATGTTTAGGGGCACATGGTTGGCTCAGTGGTTGAGCGTCTGCCTTTGGCTTAGGTTGTGATCCTGGGGTCCTGGGATCGAGACCCCCCCACATCAGGCTCTTCACAGGGAACTACTTTTCCCTCTGCCTGTGTCTCTGCCTCTCTCTCTCTCACTGTGTGCCTATCATAAATAAATAAAAATTAAAAAAATATTAAAAAAAAAAAATTATGTTTATAATGTTATATGTCTGGGTCCCCGGGACATCTTGAATTATCTTCTGAATTATCAGGGTTACTACAGCTCTGGGGTTGAGTGAATTTTATGGTCAAAAGAAACTAGAAGCTACTTTTGTGAAAAGTAGTAATCCATAGGTAGCAATGTGCAAAAATGCTTTAATAAGTTTATATTCTTGAATGCAAGGGATAATTAGTACGACTACTCTAAATATAAGGAAATAAGGACAGTCTGGAAATCAACAATATTCTGTGCAGCCAAACACCTCATACTGGGAGTTCAGAGGTGCTGGTCAATTAGGCCAACGCTGGATGATTTGGGCAAATAGATAGAGGTGTCCATGTTGCTTGACTCATCTCAGTCTGACTTTCCTAGATCATTCATTGGACTGTAACCCCAAATCCCTCCAGCATATTTATTATGCTTCATAAATCAAATGGTGCTCACCAGCAGTTTTGGTTCTTGATCTCTCTACCATTATTGCTTGCATTATGACACATTACTCTGTCCCTAACATGCACAGTCCTTGGGAAGGAGATAGGCTGAAATAAGTAAATACTGCTGTTGAGTTCTTCCCTTCATGGGTCTTCACTGAGGTTGTGGGGAGAGACTCGTATAGGGAGTAAATGAAAGCAGAATAGTAGAGGTTGAACAAAGAATAGAAAAGAGATTAAATTCATGAAGGCTAGGAAAGTAGATGGTAAGCAGAAAAAAAAGGGGGGGGATTTGAACCTTCAGGTGTCAAAAGTTCTAAATTATGTTTGCTTGATGTTTGCATAGACAGTATTTACTCACTACATAATAAGCAATATAGTGTCAGCTTACATACAATTTCTACTTAATCCTCACAACTTAAAAGGAAATAACTAATCTCTTTAGGTTACTAAGATCTGGAGGCTCAGAGAAGTTGCCGATGGTCACAGAGGTAATATTTAGGGCTTAGGGATTTGAAGAAAGCTCTGAATCCATACCTGTGTTCTGTGGCATGTAGAGTTAGTTAAATAAGGCAGGCAGGTAGTTGAGAAACTATTCAAAAATGTCACCTATTCACAAGAGGCTAGAATCATAAGGGATAAGCCATATAGTGCATAAAGAATGATAGCTTTTTCGGGAATTGATTTTTTAAAGGAGTAAAATTTTAAATGCTTTAATGCTTCAACTTTACTCAAGTATTAGAGTTTTATTGGAACATTAGTCACACATGATGTTGAAAATACTGGAATAAGTGTTGCCATGGACTAAAGATGATTCAGAGAGTATAGCAAGGGCCAAATGGGGACAAGTAAAGGGAGGAGAGGAAGGGACTGGGAGAGGTGTGTGTGTGTGTGTGTGTGTGTGTGTGTGTGTGTGTGTATAAGAGAGAGACAGAGGAAAGGAGGAAGGGAGGTGAATGTGTGGTGGAGGAGGAAGGGAAGAGAGTTGTGTGCTAACACTAATTCTAAGCTAGACCGTTTCCATGGCTAGAAGATGAGCAGATATGATATTTGTAGCAGGGAGAATAAGTCTCCACCCACTCCCATACCCCATCCAGGTTGGATCTGAATAGGGCTTTTTGTCTATGTCTAGCCTATTTTCCACAAAACAGCTAGAGTAATATTTCTTAAACATAAATTCAATTATTTAATGGCTCTGCTTAAAATCCTTCTGTGGATTCCCACTGTACTCAGAATAAATCCCAAACTCTTACTATAACCTACCAAGCCTTACATGTTCCACCCTGGTGCACCTCTAACTCCCTTCTCTGCACCACAGCACTGTGACTTCTCTATTCCCATAAGCTGAGACATTTCCTGCCATAGGGCCTTTGTACATTCTACTTCTTTTGGGAGAATATTCTTCCCAACATACTTCAATATTTATGTATGATCTCATCAAAAAGGTCCTCCCCTACCACCCTATCTTAAATAACTTTCCCTTGTTGTCTATCATTTCACCACTTTATTCTCTTCCTGATGCTAACTGTAATTATGCATCTTGTTTATTCATTTGTTTTGTGTCTTTTTCACTAGATTGTAAGCTAGCTTGAGGGCAGGAACCATATCTGCTTGCTATGTCCAGTGCCAAGGGATTTATGTCTCCTTACAGTGTTCAGCGTGGCAAAGACCCTACTTCAAAATGGATCTTTTCTGAGATAAAGAAAAGCAGACAGTGCTTGCAATGCTTTGAGGAAGTCTTTATATAATCATATGTGACTAGGGGAGTCAGTGAGCTCTGTTGCAACAAAAAAGGAGTAATTATTCCTTTGAAAAGGTGGACATATAGGCACAGTTTTAAAGTAGAAGGATGAGCATAGGAACTACTGTACTCTGCTTGCCATTAAAGGCAGGGTGAAATTGAGGTAAATGGACTCTGAATTGAGGTATGGTCTTTAAACCTCGAGAACTCTTGTTTGTTCATGGGAGTGCTGTATGTGTATGGAAGAAAGTGTATGTGCGTGAGTTTCTCTGTGTTTGAGTCTATGTACATGCACACAGACACATGTGGGATTTAAGAGCTGCCCACTGGATAACCAGAAGAAAGAGAAGCACAGTTATTCTCTCACAGATGGAGAGATTCCAAGTCCTGGGAGACTTGGAGCTTCCCTTGAACTCCTCCCCCACAGCCTTCCCTCCAACACCCACCCACACTCACCCCCTCCACACACACCCTTGGAGCATTCTACCCTGAGTAATGCAGGCTCTGGGAAATGTGGTACTAAAGGCTTGGTTCTCTGTGTTATACCACCTGGGATGGATCCTGGTGGACTTTCCAAAGCAGAGTGAGACCTGGCATTGACTTGAAGTGGCAGCCTCTCCAACAGGGAAAGGCAGACCTCAGGCAGAGCCAATTCTAGAAGCTGGCATTTCTCCCTGAGAATGTTTCTTTCTTTTTTTTTAAAGATTTTATTTGTGCATTTATTTTAGAGAGAGACTGTGTGCACATACCTGTGTGAGCAGGGGGAGGGCAGAGGGGGAAGAGGGGAAAGAATCCCAAGCAGATTTCATGCTGAGCTTGGAGCCCAACACAGGGCTCCTTTTCAGGACCTTGAGATCTGTACACCCTGAAACCAAGAGTTGGAGGCTTAACCGACTGAGCCACCCAGGCGGCCCAAGAATGATCCATTTTTTAGATGTGCTACTGTTGCCTTTGGATTGTGAGAACAATCTGGTATGCTAATACAGTATAAAATGTTTTCTCTGATTTTATAAATCACATCAGTTTGCCCCTAGTCCTCTAACCTCATCTTTTATATGTGCATGGTCTCATGAAAGTGGTGTTGTGAGAAAGAAGGGAGGTAACTTTCCTCACGTCCCTCTTATACTGAGCCCAGTATGATTGCAGCAGTTTTCCACTGAGGGGGGTGGGCTGGAATTCAGTCTTGCAGGAAAGTGAGTAAGGTTGGGGTGGGGGATGCTGTGAGCTGCGCATGGAAGGGGAACTTAGCTTGGAGAAACAGCAATTGCTTAGGCAGTGGACGAGAGGTAAGACCTGTCTCCACAAATACCCTAGAGCAATATATGTGACCCTTCCTTTGCCACCATGTGTCACACTGATCATAAGCATCACCTGAGGTCCTTGTTACAACTATTAGTTTTCCAGCTCCACTCAGGTCTGGGCTGTGGCCTGGAACCAGGATATTTTCCAAGCATCCAAGTGAATCCTCTGACCAGGGAAGTATGGGACTCAGTGCTCCAAGGCTAGGGCACTCTTGCAGGGGTGGAGGGAGGCTGACATTGGGGTCACTCATTATTGACCCTGCTTCAGAGAGGATTCTCTCTTCAGAGAGAATGACAGAAAAACCTCCTTAGGAGAGCAGATTGTAGACCACCTCACTGAACACAGTAAGAGAAGAACCAGAATTTCAATGGATTCTACTTCTTTATTTATAAACCAGTCTTCCAACCTTTCTGAACTTCTTAGACAACATAAATTCATCTCAAACTGTACAATCTTTTATCTCGGTCAACCTGACAAGTCCTAATTTTTATTCATGAATGTTGCTTCTAATTACATTACTTAACCTGGAGAGCAAGAACCATTGCGGCAGTGGGGGGAGAGCAAGAACCATTGTGGCAGTGGGGGGGGGGTATGCCTGCAGTTTTTAAAAAGCAGTTTTACTTTCAGAAGGAAAGAGTATAAAGTTACCCCTTAGAACAGATAATACTCAGATTGTCCTATTGTGTGGCAAACTTGTTCCTTTATTATTATTTTTTAAATCACTGCATCCATATCCTTTCTTCCTTAATAACCAAAATAGCGCAAAATTATTAATCAAAAAGCAAAAGTGATAACACAGATGCCTCTGTAATTCTGTAGCTTTCACACAACTTTTAATTGGGAGTGTGTGAAAAATATATATACATTAGTACATACACATACACACACACACACACACACACACACACACATTGAGACACTGCTGATAATGATCTAAAATAGTGGAGTTCTTCTAGTCCAGCATTTATACTACATAACACTGCAACGTAGTGCCATACTTTAAATGGCAGCAAAGGCAAATTTTTCACTAATTACACGTTTTAGGGCAGTTAACTCTGTGCAGGTCTTATAGTGTCTGGGGACATTTTTGATATAAGTGGTCTGATTTAAGTGAAGCTTCTGGATTAAGAAAAAGAAACCTTTGGATCCTCATTACCAGTCCTCATCTCTCTTAGCATGTTAGCCTGACAAAGATATACCTTGTAAAAATGTTGAATTCTTTATTCTGTTTGAGTTACTAGAGAGTATCACCTGCACAGTCAATCCACAGGGTGTACTGAAGCTCCACTACTTAAGATTAGAAAATGTTTTGAACAAGAATGATCCAGTTGCCATGGGAAAACAGGGCATAGTGATGCAGTGGGCTCTGTAGGCTGACGAAGTTCAGTGTTTATGCTGTGGGCCATTTATTTTTAAAATTAAATTAAAATTCTTACTCTGAAGAAGCTGTAGTTTATTTGCTTTGTTTTGTTTTTAGGGGAAGCTTGATTTCTTCCATATTCCAAGTCTGTGCTCACATATATGCTTCATTTCATGGACAAAGCCCCCAAGCTCAGTGCGTGGGCGACCACAGTATGGTGGCTCCCAGGATCACTAAGCTCCCAGCAGTGATATAACTTGACTGTCTATGATTTTTAATAAAAACCTACATCCTAGAATTCTAATGCAAAGTCTTATGCTGACATAGAACAACTAATTATCAGAGACATGTAACATTCATGGAGTATATAATAACATGTATATTAGTAATTTAGTCAATTAAGTTTGGCAACCTAATGAGTGAACAAACATCTAACATCTGGGAGCCTTAACAGAATTCTGCACTAAAATTATAAAGACTATGAAACTGAATAAAGGAACATGCTTACATGACTGCTAGGAGTTATCACTGCAGAAAACAGAACTAAGTGAATATTTTCCATATGCTTAATTTCCACTAATGGAAAGTATAGATATAATAAAACTCCTTGGTGTCTCTTAGGGTGTTTCTCTTAGTAACAGCAATTATCACAAAGAATTATACAACTGTAGGGGTATTATGACTATAAGTAGGAAAAAAAACCTCAAGAGGCAAAAATACATCACAGACTGCATCATAACACATATTTGCCTTGCTATTAAAAGTTAAACTCTTCCAAAACTTTTCCATGATGACTTAATTCATCAATAAATGTGATTTTCATTTTTTATATTGAAAATAAAACATTTAGCATATTTTGCCTCCGGTTTTAGGAATATTATATATTAAATCTAAATTGACTCCTTTTTTTTTTTTAATTTGGTGTTGCCACTTTATCTTTTAAATATGGAGACTATCTTCTAAGGAGATCAGACTTAATTTTGCCAGTTTCTGCTAGCTTGGTTGGTGTCACGGTTTTGTAAGAGAAATGAAGCACAAGAGTCCATATTCAGCACTGACTGTGAGGCTGCCTCAGATGAGTTCTACCTCAAGCGTCCAGCAGAGTGAAATGAACTGATCCACCTTGAAGAGGTCCACTCCGATTTGTCAAGTGGTTTGTGTGAAATTCTGCCCCTTGAGGTTTGCACACATATCTCTGAGTCCGCATCAACTCCTACATTCACAAATGAAAAGCATCATGAATGGAACAAGAAATGAGGGGTGGAGGAGAAGAAATAGCTCTAATTGGTTGGAAAAGAAAGGGGTTATTTCTTTCATGAAGCAACTGCTTGATATGACACTTCCTGCAAGGGAAAACCTAGGCTGCTGCAGCATTCAGGAATTCTTCCGTCATCTTCATGAGGAAAGGTTTGAGAAAGTGGACCTTTGAGAGGAAATACTACAGACTTCCAAGTTGGTGAAAGAACTTCCAGCATCGCTTGGATACTCCGGGTAGGAGGAGCTGGAGGAGATGATATTTTTGAGCCTCTGGAGGGCAATGATTAAAAGCAGAAGCAGAAATGCTAAAAGGCTGAGGAATATGGACACATAGATGTAGACATTAGACAGGTGGCCTGAGGAAGGGTCCACTGATGTGGAGAGGGATGTGGGAAATAGCTCAAGGAAAGTTCCATTCTCCACGTTACCCGAAAATACAGATGAAGAGTCAGGTTCAGACATCTTTATGGAGGATCAAAGAATGCACAAGTATGTTAAAAGTCAGTTTCACACAGGGGTTAAAAAGGACAGAATCAGCATTTTTTTTTTTTTTTTTATGATCGTATCAGCAAATATTGCAGGCAGTTAAATCAGCACAACAAAACTTCTTCGTTTTCCAACAAAGGCAGCAGGGGATCAGGTGTCCTTTGTCACTGTGAAAACAAACAAATAAGCAACAAAAGAACAGCTGAGTGCATTATTCACAAAATATCACATTTAAGTCTCATTTCTAGTTTTCACTTCAAGAAGAGAATAGAATGAAATTACTTCTCCAGAAACAGATAATGTTTATGTCATAATATTACAAATGATGATATAAAAATGAATTTTTATTGTATTTTACCTCCACAGTACCTAGGTGCCAGGATTCTCCAAAGAACTAAAATAAATAAAAAGGAAAATACATTTCTGATGTGCTCCATCTGCTGTGATTTCAACAGATGCTCCAAGTGGATACTCTGAGAATAGGACCAAAAAGTCAGTGCCAAGCCTTCCTTCTCCAGAAAATTAACTCTGCACACCTCCAGCCCACGAGCACCTTCCCAGCCAGTATTTATCTCTACCACACTTTGAAGAATCACGCCACGCATGTAATGTAAGTTTGCTTTTTGTTGAGCATTTATAATTTGATTTGCTCAGAAAAATTCATCTTCTTGAAATGAGGGGTCATTTCTTCATATTTCTTTTCATTCTTCCTGTGCACGTTCTGCATACTTCAGTACTGAGTAAAAAACTTCAGATTAATTTAGAAGAAAAAAGGTCAGATTCCCTCTGAATGGTAGAAAGTAAAAGGTTCCCTGTTAAGACTCGTAGGTTTGAGGCCTGAATTCCCCCTTACCTATGGGGAGTTGGGCAAATGGCCTACATTTTCTGAGTTTCACTTTTCTCATCTGCAAAATGTATAGCATTTGCCCATAATCTCACTATGTTTTTCAGGGATCAAGAAAATAGGCATGGAAGCACTTTGTAAATTGTAAAGAGTTGGGCACAAAGTAAAGTTATGGTGTGTGTGTGTGTGTGTGTGTGTGTGTGTGTGTTAATGGGTGTGGAGAAGGAATAGTTTTCTCTCGGCCAGGAGGCAAAGAATGCTCTTCACCATATACTCCCTCCTAATGTGGTCCCTGTGAGGAACACCAGAAGCAAAGCAGACAGGTAGGTAGCGAGTGGGATACCACATGACTCCCCAGGCTTCCACTGTGGGTGCAATGTGTCTCAGATACCTTCTCCTCTATGACTGGAAAAGTCACAGCTGGTTTCAGCCTGGGCCTCCAGCCCACTGAAGTCCACCTGGGGGTGAGGAATACAGCCTGAGGGGGGATGATCCCTCCGGGCAGATGACTCAAGTCCACAAAGATGTTCTCCCTAGCTCTTTATGGCATTGGATCCTTTTGTTGTAAATTTTTAAATCTTCATGTGTCAGAGGTAGTGAAATGCTAACATGAAAAGATCCACTCTGCCCCCTTGGCTTTCCCTTTCCCTACACTCTACCCTGCATTTTGTCTTGAAAGCTTGCCTTTCCCTTCTGTTCTCCAGATCTAATTAAGTACTGATTCTTTGTGGGGCTGACATTGGCTGCTGTGGCCAGAGCTGAGCAGCATTAATGATCTCTGGAAAGGAGGAGACACTTCTGAGAAGGCTGTGGTACCATGCAGGCTAATGATCTTAGTGAGTTCCTCGGAGTAGGCCACATACCGTGTCTTAGTAGTTCCTAAAATAATTTGACTCCTACTCCTCATTATGCTTTGCTTGGTGATTTTAATTCCATTAGGCTGCTACAAGCTCCTAACGATCCTTTAAAAAAAAAAAAAAGGGAGAATCACAGTGGGACTCAAATGTGTCACACTGATTTGGCAATCCCTTGCCTTTTTATAGCATGTAAATGTCTTAGCCATTCATCTTTAGAGAAAATAGAGCTTCAGAGGCAACATGAAGTATAGGAAAGAAAACTAGGATAGAAACCTTATGGGCTGAATAGGAAGAAATATTCTTTGTTCTGGAAAGACCTCCCAAGTCTTTAGGAAGGAAACTGAGAGACAAAAAAGCTAATTGATTTGACAAAAGAAACATCTCATTAGAAAATAAGCCAGGACTTTGGGCTTTTGCTTATCCCAATTCTTTATGCCATCTGGTCTCAATTTTCCTATCATTTGAGTTGTAAGGATTTTACATCCTTTCTTCCTAGCATAGGTAAAGGGACTATGCATTTTGTGTGTTTCTCACAGACCCTTGGTAGAGCAGATAGAGTAGGAATTATTCTTCTCACTTTGTGGATGAGGAAACTGAGGCACAAAGATATGATTTGCTCAGGGTACACAGCTAGACAGTGACAGAGGAGGGACTAGACTCCATGCTTTAACTATGTTCTTAGTTTTCTCAACTGCAACGGAAAGAGGAAAATTGAAGACTTGTGCCATTAGTTCCTATCTGCCACTTACCCTGAGCTAGCTCACAGTTTAGTCTTGATTTTCAGTTTTCCCATTAGTGCAATAACGTTCACCTTTCCTACGTTGCCAAGAGGTCCTGAGGTAGGCTGTGAGAACATTCCATAACCATCCTTAGGAAATTATAAAAGGCTATCCCAAGTAAAGTCCCAAATGCCTAGAAAGGCTAAAGGAACCTTCAAAGTCTCTGCTAGCCTTACATTTCTGTCATGTGCAGGTCACAGATTCAGCTGGAACTGGACTCACTACCCAAATCATTTTCTGGGGGTGGGGCCAGAGGTGCAGACAGCGTCACTAGCATATCAGCAATTTAGAGACAGAGCTCATGACTGGCTACCAGACGACTTGTTAAAACAAAGGCATTTTGTTACATGTAAATATTCCAAGAATACATTTCACATCCTGAAGATCTCCTTCTTTCAGACAAAAGGCCCACTGTGAACTTCAGCTACCTATGAAATAGTTTATAGGACATGAGACTTAAGAATTTGGGGAAAGCACCTCATCTTCCAAGTGCTCTTGGTAGAATGGTGGAAATGAACAAATGAAATCTTGTGTCACTATTTGACATTTCTCAATTAAATATATTCTCCTTTAAGTGTTCTCCCAGTATTTCAGATTTAATATCATTTCCAGAATACTTTTGTAATTTTAAATGACAGATACGAAAATTTCATTTCACTGTTCTACTCTGAAACAACAGAATATATGCACCGTTAAAGATCATTTTAATTTGATGGCCTTTATTCTCACTCTCTTATTGAAGTCTTCAAAATTGATAAATCCTTTTTCTCTCTGGTGAATGTTTTGATAGTCTATGTATAATGTTCAGGATGAAGCCAGTTGTATGTGTTCAGGACTTGTGACCATGTGAATGAGGTCAAAGGTGGCACTGTGAAAATGAAATCGAACAAGTATGTTTCAAGATGATGCATCTTGGGCTGTTTCTCCACAAACAGATCAGGTTTAAAGAAAAGAAGAGAGAGACTTCATCTTAAGTGCGTAGCCTTGACCTGTCTCAGGGCAGCACCAGCGTACTGTCATTTTGGTGGCACCTAAAGCCATATGGGCATTATGATGCTTCTTTTCTGAGCCATCCTCAGAATGTGACTTTTGAGAAAGGAAAATGAGACAGCTGGATCATAACATTATAAATGAAGATCTGTGTAAATGTTCTGGTTCATAGTCAGCTTCTTTCCCTTTGTCTCTTGGAATAAAAATCTGTGCTGGGAAGAAATCTGCAAAAGGCAGTCAGTCACCGATGGAAGTGAGGAAGAGTGGACCTGTAATGTCATTATGAGCCCAGTGAGGTGGGGAGATGGAGAGACAGCAGATAACAGACAGACCTGAGGGTCTCTGGTTCCATGACACTCAGCAGCATGCCTCTGTGCCTCCTCTGGAAGGATGGAAACTTTCCTTCCCACGGAGTGATTATGAGAATCATAAAGTTTTAGATGAACAAAAGCGTACACTCTGACATGTACCTTCATGCCTGGTAAAAAGAAAAAGAGCCAACAGACCCCAATCTCTGAGTCTGCTCACACAATCAGTGAGAGACCTCTGGTGGCCAGCAGGAGGGCGAAGCCTAGGCCATGGCTTTGACTTCTGTAAAATAATGGCTATGGAACTCAGCCTACAGTCAGCCTCAAATCTGGCACTGCAATTTCTGAGTTTCTGAACTTTATTCAAATACATGTCTATGGGAGTAACAACTATTTGAGAGGTTTTTTGTTGTAGAAAACTGGGATAAGATGCTTTGTTGCTTTGCAGATATAAAGAGTGCCCTGGATGTTAGGACGTCGAATCAAAATTTTATCATTATCAAGTCCTGCTATGTCATTCTCCAAAAGGCAGTCCTCTCAAACCATTAGTAACGATTTGATAGATTTGATAAAGTATGAACATGACATGGCAAAATGCCTGTTTCTGTCTACAAATACAAACTTTGATATTATAATGTAATGATATACTGGATCTCTTTCTCTATAGAACACATAGAAACTACCATTTCCAAAATCGAGTAGCGACCTTATCACGTTGAAGCAAAGCTGTTTTCAGTTCTACTTAGAAAATAGTATGCTTTAAAAAAAAAAAAAAAAAGAAAATAGTATGCTTTGTATGAGACCTAGAGCCATTCTCTCCCATTTGCACAATTATCTTCTCTCTTAATGCTTTTTCTTTGGCTGATGGCCTTTTAGGTCATGTTAGATGAGAGGTTGGTGCTGACATACATATTCCCCATCCACTCTTTCCTAAATATAAATTGTCACTTGCAGTCAATGGCAAACACTTACCCATTGGACTCGCTATAATGCAAATAAAGTTTATTATCTTATGTGCTATCCTTATTCAAAGATGATTCATCCATCCATATATCTGATAACTGTTCTTACTTATTGGTATACTGTTTTAGCAGGGTAGAATTGTATGTGAATTCTGTTTCTGGTTCCATGTAACTATCCAATAAAAAAATAAAATTAAGTAAGGAAATAAACTGAGTCTTTCTCTTATCAAATATTGAATCAGAGTACCATCTTATGAGACAAAATGTAGATGAAGAGTCTGAATAATACACTGGAATTCAAGGATCTAAACTGGATAATGTAAGACAAAAATTTAAAATTAACATTTCTCTTTACCCACTGTTCAAATGAATGATCAGAAAATAGAGTCAGAGTTTTTTCATAGTACTTTGGTAAAAACTTTTAAAA